GCAAAGGCGACACGCCGACCCCCTCGCAGCGAAACCCACCCCCCCCCCTCATCCACACACCCACACCCCCATCCACACCCACACCCACACCCACATCCCACACCCACACACCCACACACCCACACCCACACACCCACACCCCACACCCACACACCCCACGCCCACACCCACACACCCCACGCCCACACCCACACTCACATCCACACCCCAAAATCATAGTCAGTTATTAGTGATGATGAAGTAAATATTTCTAAATTCGACTGAAGATTAATTGATATTCGACTGTCTTTGATTTTTGCATGATAAAAACGATTACGTATACGATGAAAAAATTTTAATAAATATCGATTCGCATGAATTATTGATGATAATCTACGAAATAATAAATTTAAAAAAATTTAAGAAAAAGAAAAAAAATTACTCTTGATTGTCATGAATATTCATTTGATCTCGAATATCAACAAATGTAGATCGATTTCTTATTCATTGTTTGAAGGTTCTATTTCTTCCGTTATCGAATGATCTTGCAAATGCCATGAAATAAATATAACTTTTGATATTCGTCCATCTTTATTTATATTCATTGTATTAAATGCATGTTCATATAAGAATTTATTTATTTTATATTGATCAAGAAATTGTGCAACGAATTTTTCTCGCGAATTAAATTCTTTTCGTGTTATATAACCATGATTATGAATATCAAAAAAATGAAAGACTGTTGCAATTGTACGTAAACAACTAGCATCGATTATGGTTGATAATTCATCAATATATTCATTGAAATCTAATTGACCATCATGATTTTCATCTTATATATCAAACGTCATTGAAAAAGATTATTTACTTTTTCGAGAATTTTTATATGTTGACGATTTTCTCTTATATACATCGAAGAAATTTTCGTTTCGAACAATATCTACTTGCGCAATCATGATAAAATGTTTTACGTGAAAAATTACTTTCATATTCAGAAAAAAAAACTTGTTTTATTGTTATGAACTAATTCAATATTTGTGTGTCGATATTTGATAAGAATGATAAATAGTGATCTTTTTTTCTCTGACTTATATTTGAGATAAAACAAAAAAAATAACTCTACCGAGAAAGTGTAAGCATCATGATGATTGCATACTATTGTCTGTTATTGTAAGATGCGGGGCGGGTGTGGATGTGGGTGTGGGGGGGGGTGTGGGCGTGGGTGCGAG